TTGCTATCAACCCTCCGTGTTGCTACCAATGTTTGCCCCTCCGTATTGCTACCAATGTTTGCCCCTCCATCAGCTGATCCTGGCTACCACCCTGGCTACCTACCAGCCCCCCGTCTATGAGGGCTACGTGTATGGAGAGGGCGCCAAGACTTTCGGCTGGTTGATCGCCAGTGTACCCTTCCTGCCAATACCTGTGTATATCGTTTACAAGCTGGTCATTACTAGAGGCACTTTCATGGAGGTAGGTTTTGTCATTGATGTAGGTAGGTTTAGTCATTACTTTAGGTAGGTTTAGTCATTGTTGGAGGTAGGTTTTGTCATTGTTGGAGGTAGGTTGGGTCATTGTTGGAGATGGGTTTAGTCACTGTCAGAGACGCGCTACAACTCTAGCCAGGGACACGAAGTTTAGACTTTTGGGTTAGAAGGCAAACGCTCTACCATTTGACCATGCCATTCGATTGTGTGGAGTAGGTTAGGATTTTAGACGGGATAGGCTGTGACTTTATAATAAAGATATTTAAGTCATATGGCCTGAGATGTTTTGTGCTCATAATGTTTGTTGTTTTAGTAAAAAAAATTGCCCAACTAATAAGTAAGGCAGTATAGGTTGAGATTGATTACAAATCCCAACTTTCGTATTTATTATCTCCCTTACAGCGCTTAAAGAAGTCTTGCACCCCAGGCCAAGACTGGGCGCCCAACGACCCGGCGATACGCAAGAAATATCTCGCCCAAACTAAGGAGACAGAATTGTGTACTTTCAGATTACCTTTTAGACATAGATAGCCTTTTATGTTAGTACTAGTTTTTGTTAAATTTAGCTCTCTATCTTTGTTAACTACTGTGCAGTGTTTCTTCCAGACTTTTTCTTCGGGATAGGGGGGGGGGGGCACTTGATATTTTCGGGGGGGGGGGGGCGGTCAATATTTTCCGGAGGGGGGGGCGGACACTTGTAAAAGTATGTTTTCTATATCAAATCCATTTCGTTCGGAGTGGGGGGGGGGGGGGGGGGGGATCAACTCTACTACTGTATGAGTTAGTTTTTTTACGTTTTGTTTTAAAATGTGTAGCCTGTATTTTGATAATACTGTTTAACATATTTTTTAAACCTTCATTTCTATTTCTAACAGCTTTTCTTACGTATGCCTAAAATTGTATACATTTCTTTAATCAATGTGATGCTCAATATTAATGATGTTAAAAGATGCACTTTGTATCAGCCTATCGTACACATGAATTAAGTTTAAGAAATTAAAACGTGTCCTGGGCACACTATCAGCTGTCATCACTATGTTTGGATTTATTTATTTTTAAACGTGACGTGCATGGTGAGCCGGTGTCAAATACTTCTCGGGATTTCATGAAATGAAGATAAAATTTGATTTTGAGCGAATTCAACTTTGTCATTAATATTTTAACATATTCTATATTTATTTAATATATTTAAATATATTTGTCAAATATGTGTACGTTAATATTGTTAATTTTTATGTTTTGGAAAACGAATAGTGTGAGGCATTGATGCATGACTTAGAAATGAACCCAATTTTCTTTTCATTCAGGCAAAAAAAACCTAGGTTTAAACAATAACTTATTTTTAAAGAAATTTGCATACGGCAAGTAATTAAAAGTATATATTTAAAATCATTCCTCAACGAATGCCTAATTTAATTACCTCGTGTTTAACTAAAAAAAAAGAATTTGGATTTGTCGTTTCTGTTGTCAACAAGTAAAAAAAAATGTATTTATTACTGCTACGGTCTACAAACTGTCAACATCTGCTAGAGGTGGAGAGAAAAACAAATGTTCGTTAGTCCCAAGTCACAGTCTGCTGGCTAGACAAGTCTTTTACACACAGTGGCACCTTTAAGAACAAAACAATACAGAGTTTTATACAAACTTACACCTACTATAACACAACTAATACACACGTACAAACACAATGACAACACAGAAACTAAACTAATCTTGTTACCTCCCCTTAGTGACGAAATTGTTTCATTCTTTTTACTTTCTCGTATACACAGTATAGAGAAAGTATTGTAATCGTGCAAAACAAAAAGCGAGATATTTGCAAATCTCGACGTTTTACACCTCACTGAGTTGGAAAAACATAATTTGGCAATCTTGTCCGTATGTCTGTGTGTGTATGTGTGTGTGTGTGCATGTGTGTTTGTGTCTATAAACACGATAACTTGAGTACATTTACAGCTAGGTTGATGAAATTTCATATATAAGTATTATATCAAATTTGTCGATCAGTATCAAATTTGCAGCGATTTCCGATAACCGGAAGAGGAACTTATTCTACTTTCAATTTTTTCAGAAGCCTATAACTTGAGTACTACTTCAGATAGATAAATGAAATTTCACATATGAGTAAAATATCTAATTATCTGCCGTCTGTCTCAAATTTTGAGTATCTTCCGTTGACCAGAAGTAGTAATTTAGTAATTTAGGCTATTTCCGATTTCTCAAAAAACGCATGTGAATTTATAAAGTACTAATAATATTCCGCACTATTATACACATTTTATTTGGCGTTCACTTGGTATGCAATTCTTTTTTTCAACGAGATTCTATTCTATTTTTAAAAGTGTTAAGTAATTAAAAATGGATTAAAAACCATGTCTATATCCCGCGTTGCCATCCCCCGTAATGTTATATAAGAGTATTCGAGAAAGTTTAGGGGATATCACTCCCGGTTTATTTAATCACTTATTGAAAATCAAATAATTTAAACAAAAATATATTAATACTAATAGTTTCGCTGTCTGTGTATCTATGTATCTGACAAGAACGCTCTAGAGAAAACACAAGGAAATTAAAAACATGCACAGTAATTCGAAAAACGAAGTATGACGTCGTATAGTAGAAAATAATCTCAAGCCGGAGAGTGCATACAGTAATATGACGTCATTGATTCTCGAGTAAACATTGAATAAAAAGACAATTTTGTCTAATCTAAGTGGTTTGCGTGAAGAGTTTCTTTCATACAATTCTTCGGGTAGGGGCGAAGCCCCACCCCCGCGTAAGAACGCCTGACCCCCCCCCCCTCCCTAACTCAAAGACATTTCTTCATCGATACTCTATAATAAAATTACCGCCTAATTAATGTGTCTAATCTAAAAAGTAGTTTTCTTGCAATTTCTTTAATGCAATTCTTCGGGTAGTGGCTAAGCGCGACACCAGTGTTTCTTTCAGACTTTTTCCTCCCCGGAGAGGGGTGGGGGTACTTGAAATTTTCGGGGGCGGGGGTAGAATTTTCGGGGAGGGGGCGGACACTGGAAAAAGTATATAATTATATTTCGTTGAATGGGACGGTAGACATGTTTTTTTGGGGGTGGGGGGGGGGGGTGGTGTGTGTGTGTGGGGGGGGGGGTGGGGGGTGGGGTGGTTTTAGTTTAGAGAAAAGAGACAGCACTATCAGCCTAGCGCCCGTTGTACCCTTCCTCAACGGGCCATTTTTCTCGTAGACCTATATTCTTGCATCGTCATCAAAGACAACTGTAATTGGCAAGTTGGAACGATATCTCTGCATTAAAAGTGGATCATAATTAAGTTACAAAATTTGCCACAATAAAATAAATAAATTAAAATAAACAAATAATCAGACATTGTGAATGAAATAAAAGCTTATAAAAAACACGATTTACAACGCGCTGATAAAATCTCTGTTTCACCTTTTTGCACTCTGGTATGTAGGACTAGAGCGCGACGAGTGCAACAACGCGCGACCAGTTAGCTAGTCAATAAACACGTTAGGTTTTGATGCCCCTGGCCAATTTAAAACTGTAGCGTAAATGTAATTGTAGTCCTAGTCAACTGAAGCAGCAATGATTAAAAATGTATCCCCGTACTCAGGGCCGGCGTTATCTATAAGGCGAACTAGGCGGTCGCCTAGGGCGCTTTCCAAAGGAAGGCGCGAAAATGCGTAATCGCTATTATTAAAAGTAATAACTTTATATTATATAACCTATAGACAGGGTAATATACAAAGGTTTAGCAATCTATTACGGTGCCCAGGACTAACTATCAATTTTGCGTCCCCTTCAAATTAGGCCTATTTATAGTTATTAGCGTTGTTGAGATTACGCCTCCCCTCCACCTCCCTCACTTGGAACAGTCAGGGCGCTTTTTACCAGTCACTTTGCCTTTTTATTTTGGTGTCACGCAATTGATGTAGCAAACAATTAAATAAGTTCGTAATGCCAAGTAACAGTCAACATTCTTTATTTTTACTGCATTTTATTCAGTAATTAGCTTTTTATATTATTATCTACCTATATGTCTATGTATTATAAGCGCCCCTTTGATTTGGCGCCTGTGGCGGCCGTCCCACCCGACCTCCCATAGCCACGCCTCTGTTAACATAATGAGATAAATAGTGTATTTATTAGTGTAAATCTTTTAATTTCAAACTTTTCAGAAGTATATATATATATATATATATATATATATATATATATATATTATATATATATACATATATATATATATATATATATATATATATATATATATATATATATATATATATATATATATAGTATGGGGCCGAAAAAAAAATTGCGAGGGGGGGGGGGGCGTTGTAAAAAGTTTTGCCTAGGGCGCTATTTGACCTGGCGCCGGCACTGCCAGTACTAAATACAAAACCAGGTAGACATTACATTATCACTAGTTATAATCATGCCTTTAGAGTTTAGAGAAGTTTTAAGCATGGTTTTTAAAGGTTTAGCCCCTTTCGTTTTAAATTACCTTAAAGTTTGTATTAATTTTATACACATAATTATATCTCTCCATAACGTAAATATAGTTTTGCATTTGTGCTCTGAAGAGAGAATGCTTTCTACAGGTTCATGCTCGAGCAATCATTCATGGTGGAAAAGGTTTATTGAGACAAATAATGTGAATGAATGTGTAACTTGTTTGACAACATCTGAACGAGTGGGGGGAAGGGGTTATATTTATCTGGGCAACTATGACTTGCACAGTCAAATAGGATACGAACAGACAGGTTGTACAACGATCAATAGTTGTATAATAATTCACACATTAGTGCTAGGGATTTTATCTTCGCAGCCTTTGGTACTTATTAGTACTGCAATTAATACGATTTGGACTTCCAAGCAGGTAATTTGTTCCAATTTTGAAAATATTTGTGTTTCAGTTACTTTTTTCTTCAATATAAATTTTAATATACTTTTAAATAATGCTATCAAGCAAAATTTTATTTTTAAAAATTTCTACAGGGTGCAAATTAACCTATAAATACATTATGCATATATATATATATATATATATATATATATATATATATATATATATATGGTTATATACAATTATACATATACAGGCCCATATAGCTTATAGCTCGTATAATTAGTTTGAAATTGTTTTCAATCTGCATTGTTAGTTTCGTATATTTAAAGGCTTACTGCTTTATCATTCTACTTAATAGAAAGGGGCAAAATACAATCTATATTTTTAAACAATACAGGTTTCTGGACTTTGCAATTACATTGGTATACGTAGAGTTAGACGTAGTCATAGAATTAAACATACATATAGACAAAGAGAGGCACCTGCACTTGCCACTGCACCATCACCAGCACCAGCACCTGCGCCTGCACGAACACACACACACACACAAACATACACACACACACACACATATATATATATATATATATATATATATATATATATATATATATATATATATATATATACTAACTACGTTTTTTAAACTGCTCCTGGAATATGACTATCTTCTGTCTAGTCCTCCACTGGTTTTAGGGGACATAAAGAGTGTGTTTGTCCTGATGTATTTCTACATCACATTTAACGGGGGTGTTTTGCTTGGCTAGTTCCCTATGCATTGCACTACAGTATTTTTGTGATGGAAACCCCGTTTGGCATTCGTGTGAATTGAAAGAGGTTCTTTTAGTCAAGCTGAAGATTATTCGTGACATTGTAATTAGAGCTTGCAACCTATAAATGATAGGCAAGGATGACAAGTGTCTGACATCACAATGGGGTGACTATGACACTCGTTTCAGTTTGGGAAAAGAAGGTGGGGTGGTGGTACTTGGAGGAACAAGCTAGGTGCATTTTTTTTCTTTTGCTTTGATTATTGTTTAAATTATTTAAAATATTTAGAATTTTAGTATTAGATGATATTGTAGTTGATGGGAAAGTATTAAAACGATCTCAGAGGCGTCGCGAGGCGGGGGCGGGTGGTGCGGGCCGAACCGGGTGACACCCGACCTAGCGACGCCACTGAACTATCTATTATAAACAAGTATTGACTGTCAAAAACTGTGAACGTTCTTTAGCGCTGACCTTGATAAGTAAAGTTAATTTTGGAATTGGAAGATGCGTGAAACGTATCCTGTTGAAAATTAATATTATTGTTGGAACTTAGTAAAAATTAAGAATAACTAAATCACTAAAGCTATAACGAGATAAAATAAAACATTTAAGATATTCAATTTAGGAATTGGGAATTGTAAAGATGTGACGATTGAATTGAAAAATTAAGTGAGAAAACTATGTTCTGTTTTTTTTTATTGGTTGTTTACTTTTTCGATATGGCTGGTATTTTTTTTTGTTTGTCGTGAGCTGTGACTAAAAATTACTTTATATATTCAGTATAACGACGATATTTTCAATAATATTTATTTCCGTTGTTTTTTGTTCTACACGTATTGCTGAAGCCAGTGGCGTAGCTAGGATTTTCGGGCCCCTATGCAAAAATTATCATTGGGCCCCTTCGTCAATCGGTAAAATGTGTATGTTATACGTCCATACTGTGTATTAATACGGTGTTATTGTGCAATACCCCGTAACGTATATCACGTTTATGTACAAGCAAAGTAACTAATTTAAGTAACCTAACACAATAGCGTCACAAGGCGGGGGTGGAGGTGTCACAATTTAGGCGTGTCACCAGGACAAAAACTCGTAAAATTTACTGTCAAAAGTATGTTTTATCCAGTTAAAATAATAAAATATTAAGGAGTGGGGGTAATTCAAAATTCTTTGAGGGGGTGTGGGTGGGGTGACACTAACTAAACGCACAGGGTGATACCGAACCTTGTGACGCCACTTACCAAACACAAATTTTAAAAAATTGCTGATGATTTATTTCGATTTGTTCTTTTCTTTCTTTCAAGTTGGCAATGCTTAATATTTTCCTTGAGGTCCATTTTAGCTGCTTTTGTATGTTCGATACTAAGAATGGCTAAGTTTCTAACCCAAAGGGCATATCTACAACTTGTTTCATAACATCATCATAATGGAGAGACTCTGGGCGCCCAACAGTATAGGCTACTATTGTTGAGGCACGTGAGGACACCGCTTATTTTATTAAGTCATCGAATATAGTAGTTCTCCGTATCCCTATGGCATGGCGCTCATTAAAACAAGTATATGTGTCGTAGTGCTCACAAGGGAGCCAGGGGCGCCGGCTGGTGCGCCTGTGCAGTTTGGCCATTGAATAAAGCAGTAGCCCTGACCCTTTGTGCAGGATGCCCAATCAACTGACCCCAGGTGCTAACACAGCCGCTGGGAAACTCTGGGTGACGAACTGAACCACCTTACCGCCAGGGCGCTGCTCTCCGAACGAAACAAAGACAACATTAAGTTTATTTTTATTCTAATTCTCTCAACGGCTTCCCCGACAATTAAACAACGCCTGTAGTGTTATAACCGATGAGCCCTATAACCCCCCCCCCCCCACACCCAAACTGAATGCCATTACCTCTACAGTTAGAAAGGTCTGGGGGCCTTTTTTGGAACTTATGATTTTTTTCTACAGTAGAAAAGAAACTGGATTTCCATTTTCTTTTTAAAATTATTTTTATAAGAGAAATATTAAAATTCCAATGTAAAAGTTATAATTTTCTTTAAAGAGGCAAAAGGGTCCCTATTTTTCTTGGGCCCCTATGCCTTGCTTACGCTAGCTTTACGGTAGCTACGCCAGTGGCTGAAGCTAAGAGTGACAGACAAACAGAGAAGTGCGGACATAGGCTTTTAAAAATATAGTTTGTAACATATTAGATGCAAGTTATTTTACTTTGGATTCAGTCCATAGTATAAGACAGTAGGCCTTTTTAAAATGTAACTTTTTGATTTTGGGGAATTTCGAATTAAATATTTTTAGTAGCAGGAAAAATACATTTTCTATTAAATATAGGACCAATTTAGATCTACTAATTTCAAAGTTATGCTTAATTACTTTTTTTGGTACAAAAACATATTCTAAAAAATTGTAATATATTCACGGATAAATTGTTGCAAGAAAAATATTACTTTTCATAGATATGGAGCCTAGTTCAAGACCAAAGTTAGAGGAATACAGTCTTAATTTCCCTTTAACGAACGGGGATGGTAAAGAAGATATTGAACACGAAAATGGGATCAACGGCAATAAATATCAAGAAACATCTGTTGTTTTTTTATGCGATGCGAGCCAAAACTCCAGTTTTTTAAGTGATTTGAGCCAAAGTGATACCAAAGATGACGGGAAGACACGCCATATCTGGCCACGAAAGATTGAGTATGTATTGACGGCCATTGGCTACTGTGTTGGGATGGGCAATGTGATACGTTTTCCTTACCTTTGTATGAGAAACGGTGGAGGTGAGTTAACTTTAGGGTTGTGGCTTATAATAAAGTAAGTGTTTTGAATATGTTTTAAACGTATATACGATGATATATAAGTATATATAATCGACAAAAAACCATTAATTACATATACAAATTTAAAAAAAAAATTCCTTCTTTAATATTTTTATCATTTTCGCTGGGATTTTTTTTTAAATAACCTCTATTAAATTTGTTAATCGAGAAGAATCTGTGTTGATCATAAACGTGTTTATAAAGCTGCAACACCATATGTACTATATATGTATGTTCGTTCCTCAGTGTTCCCAAGTGTCACATATTTTGTATTCCCAAGGTGCTTTCCTCATCCCCTACATCCTGTGTCTGACTGTATGTGGGATCCCTCTCTTCTTCCTGGAGGTCAGTCTCGGCCAGTTTATGTCCAGGGGACCTCTTCATGTCTGGAGTATTTGCCCTTTGTTTAACGGTGAGGTTTAAAAACATCGATGGGTTATTGCCCCTCTAAGAATTTACATAATAGAAATATTTTGGAGGTTTCTTTAATGCGTAGAAGTGTTGGTAGAGGTGTTGACATAAAAAGTAACTTACTTTTATTTAAAATTGCTTTTGCGTGGACGTTTAAGAACCGATAAACGCTCCATCTACTAAGTCCCCCAACTCCTAACGCCCCACAATAACGCTCACCCTAACGCTCACCCTAACGCCCTACCATAACACCTTATCCTAGCACCCACCCCAACACCCCACACTAACTCCCCACACTAACACCCCACCCTAACGCACAACCCTAACCCCCAATGCTTTATACCTATCAGGTATCGGCATCTCAATGATCGTCATCTCCTTCGTGAGTTACTGGTACTTCTGCATAGTCTTTGCCTACATCCTCATCTACCTCGTCAATTCCATGAAGTCGCCCCTGCCCTGGACCTTGTGTGGCCAAGCCTGGAACACGCCCCTGTGTGTACCCCCGGGCCAGAGAGGCGTCGAGTTACTCAATGGGTCGCGGGCAGCTGATTGGGTCAACATGACCCAAGTCATGAACGTCACGTTGAACGTTTCCAGAAACGCAAATTCTGCAAGTGCTGAATTTTGGCGGTAGGTTTTGGTTTCATGTGAATTATGGCGGTAGGTTTTGGGTTTTGTGAATTTTGGCGGTAGGTTCTGGTTTTATGTGAATTTTGGCGATAGGTTTTGGTTTCATGTGAATTATGGCGGTAGGTTTTGGGTTTTGTGAATTTTGGCGGTAGGTTCTGGGTTCATGTGAATTTTGGCGGTAGAATTTGGTTTCATGTGAATTTTGGCGGTAGTTTCTGGTTTCATATGAATTATGGCGGTAGGTTTTGGCTTTATGTGAATTTTGGCGGTAGGTTTTGGTTTGATGTGAATTTTGGCGGTAGGTTTTTGCTTCATGTGAATTTTGGCGGTAGGTTTAGGCTTCATGTGAATTTTGGCGGTAGATTATGGTTTTATGTGAATTTTGGCGGCAGGTTCTGGTTTTATGTGAATTTTGGCGGTAGGTTTAGGCTTCATGTGAATTTTGGCGGTAGGTTATGGTTTTATGTGAATTTTGGCGGTAGGTTTTGGTTTTATGCTAATTTTGGCGGTAGGTTTTGGTTTATCCAGAATTTTGATAATAAAAAAAGAAATTAATTTTTGCATAGACTATAAAATGAAAACACGAAAGCTGTTTTAAGAACAGTATATTTACAATCTAATTTCACGATAACGTACACATTTACAACATATCGAACTTCGCAGCATCCCCCCCCCCCCTTCTCTCCCCAAACCTCTTCGTTAATTTCTTTTACTCCTGTTGAAATAGTTATATAGGTTGCTATTACATGTGGAAAATGTATGGTTCACTAAACTTTATGATTAATTTGAAAAAGCTAAAGTGTTGCATGCATGAATGATTTCATTGAAAAATAAAGAGGTGTAGGGTAGGCGATATGGTCGGGGGGGGGGGGGGGTGGTTGACGTTGTTATAATGGGGTTGTTAAGTGCAACGTTGACAACTGTGATGTGCTAAATTTGAAAACAATGTCATCTGAATTCTGCAGTCATATTTCACAAATGACCGCAGTAATAGTGTAAAATTTGTTTCTGTGCAAAAAAATAAATAAATCAGGAGTCAATTTCTTTGTTTGTATGAAGATAACAGGATATGGCCGAAAACATTGTTTAATAAATTTGGTCCCTCTGAACATTGTTTTTTGCCTTGTGTTTTGCTTTGATTACAGAATACATTTCAACAGATCTAAAACACTTTCTGAGTGGATTACATTGTTACATTGAATTATTTAATGCAGTCAGTTTTGTTGTCATTCCCCAGCAACAATGTGCTAGAGTTGTCTTCCGGGTTGGAAAACTTGGATGGTCTCCCTTGGCACACGACTGTGGCTGTACTAGTCTCGATCATTTTAACGTTCGCTTGTATAATCAAGGGCATTCACTCTGTTGGAAAGGTAACTCTTGTTAAATCAGAAGTACATTAATTAATACTGATAATTTAAAAAAAAAAAATTAAACTATAAAAACAACTGCTTTTATGCTATGTAAGGGTATTATTTATTAGTTCAGATAAATATTAATTAAGCGGTAAAACAATGCTTGATGATACTTTTAAATTATAACGCTAAGATTGTCAACCTATCGAAATAAACCTGGATTTTCAATGGCAGTTAAAGAAATACACTATTTTAATTTTATTTCGTAATTTTATCCAACAGATAATTCGATACAGTCATCAGTTAAGTTTATGCATATAAATTAATCAAATGTTTGGATCTTTAATATACAAATATTTTTAAATCTTTAGTTGAAGTATCGCTCGTTAAGCTTATTTGTTTGTGTGACTTTCAGCTAACCTGTTGGTAAATGTACAAAACAAACAAACACAAACCGTCACGTGATGTCACTTCAGCAAAAACCTTGACATGTGGCAATAAAAGAGGTCATAGGGCGCAGTCATTGGGGTCTGTTCTACCCTGGGCAGGTGGGCGGGTGGGATCAGTCATCGGATGGGGGTGGGGGACTGGGGTAGTTTAAAAACGGTGGGAAGGTGTTTAAATGGGGTCTGCTGTGACATTTAATCGCAGTCAGGCGTGTCACATGACATAAAATACAGCCTTCAACTTACAGATACAATCATGCTGAGTCAGTGGTTCAAAAAATATTAAGCAATTAGGGGTTGGGGGATATGGGGTAGGGGAGAAACTAAGCTTACAATAGGGAGGTGGGATCAAGCCAAATGGGGTTGGGGGGGGGGGGGTTGGGGGGTCATGTCATCAGTGGAGGGTGGGACCAAGTCGACAGAGATGGGGGGGGGGGAATCACGCCAATAGTGTGGAGGTGGGATCAAGTAAACCATGTGTGTGTGTTTTGGGGGAGGGGGAGTCCTTCAACAATGAGGGGTGGTAATATGTAAGCTTTTCCTTGCCCTTCAGCAAAGTAAAATAGTGCAAGATGTATTATTATTATATTATGATTATGTAACTTAAGCGAGGCTGAGTTGTGTTGTTACCTTACAGGTAGTTTATATCACGGCCCTACTGCCGTACCTGCTGCTGACTGTACTCATCATCAAAGGCGCTACCTTACCTGGTGCTGTGGACGGGGTTTTGTTCTATGTGTACCCAGACTTTAGGTAGGTCGAGCTGTAGTGTATGTGTATGTGTGTATGTGTATTTATGTGTGTGTGTTCGTGTGTGTGCGTGTTTGACGGTCGAAGTTATGACGTGTGGTCAATGTCCAATATGTAAGCAACTGCCTGTGTAATATTTTAGTTCCGAAAATTGACCTCTACCCTACCATTGTATCATTGATTTACCTGCAGCAAACTGCTGGTAGTACAGACCTGGCTAGAAGCTTGCATCCAGGTGTTTTACTCGCTGGGTCCAGCCTATGGGGGACTCTTCACCATGGCCAGTTACAACAAGTTCCAGAATAATTGTATGAGGTGGGTCGTTAGATACAAGTTACAGAACAATTGTATGTGGTGGGTCGTTACATTCAAGTTTCAGAACAATTGTATGAGGTGGGTCTTTACATACAAGTTCGAGAACTATTGTATAAAAAGATGTCTAAGAAAAAAAGAGGAGAGCCGTTGACAATCTTATAACGTTACGTGGAGTAAGACACTAGAATGTAGAGTTAAGACAGGTATGTGTCTGGGGGGGGGGGGGAGTAACTAAAAATTAACTAGCTATTGACCCTTCTAGAAAACTTCACAGAGTTTAACAACAGGCAAAATACTACTATTGAATAGAAAGTCCACTAATATATGAACACTTGTAACTCTATACAGTTAACATCCGTTTATATTTTTCATAAACACAGAGACGCCATTGTGCTGTGTTTTGTCTGCGAAGGGACAAGTGTTTTCGCCGGGTTCGCCATCTTTCTCGTCCTTGGTCACATGGCCTACAACCTCCAGCTGCCATTGGCTGACTTTTCTCAGTCAGGTAAACATCTCCAAATAAAGCGGAGAAAGTGAAAATACCATTAGTCTTCTCTGTCAGAAAATAACAGCACACCTTTAGACAATTTGCTTTTGTTGACTGCTCAGCAACAACAAAGTACAACAGCAATAAAGAAACAAAAGTGAAAAGGAAATTTGGTGTACTGATTTTATACAGCTGATATGGCTTTCATTGTTCATACATTTCTGTAACTAAGGCTTCCCCACCCTTCAGCGTTTCTCTTTATCTAGTTTTCTTCTCAGGTGCTGGGCTGGCGTTCATTGTCTACCCAGAGGCCATCTCCTACCTCCCCCTCCCCCAACTGTGGGGGGTGATGTTTTTCCTCATGCTGGTCACCATAGGTTTGGATTCACAGGTAACTCACGTGATGTGGTTTTGTCGTTGTGTTGGTCTCACTTTAATCGAACACTGACTAAAGTCTCACCATAAGCCCTCACTGACTAAAGTCTCACCATAAGCCTTCACTGACTAAAGTCTCACCTTAAGCCCTCACTGACTAAAGTCTCACCTTAAGCCCTCACTGACTAAAGTCTCACCATAAGCCCTCACTGACTAAAGTCTCACCATAAGCCCTCACTGACTAAAGTCTCACCTTAAGCCCTCACTTACTAAAGTCTCACCTTAAGCCCTCATTATCTAAAGTCTCACCTTAAGCCCTCACTGACTAAAGTCTCACTCTACCACCCCTAGTTCACCGTAGTTGAGACCGTCCTGACGACCTTACAAGACGTTTGGCCAAGATTCTTCAAGCGGTACAACATCTACATCAAATTAACTTACGGCGTCACGATTTTCCTCGTCTCGTTGCCATTAGCAACCAGAGTAAGTCGTTGAGTGCAGTTAGTTACAGTTTTCCGATAAAGCATAAAGTACTTAACTTTTGTCCTTTTAAACTGCCTTTATTTGTCCTTGTTCTGGTGTGGAGTGTACCTACGTTAGATTGAATATCGAATTGCCACTTTTTGTACCTAATCTATGCTGGGATGTACCTATGTTAGCTTATAGATCAAATAGCCACTATGTTAGATAATAAAACAAACTGCCACTATTTGCACCTGTTCTAGGGTGGGATGTACCTGTTCCAGCTGATAGACTGGTACTTCGCCGCCTTCGCTCTAATCGTCAACGCTTTTCTGGAGTGTGTGGTAGTGGCGTGGATATACGGTACTTTTTCATGGCATTCGATTAGGGTTTACTGGAAACGAAACAATCAGTGGTCAAAAAAGACTTAATCTTTTATTAACTAATTTGAAGACAGTTAAAAATTTATTATCCATTTTGATCAAACAGGCGCTGAACGGTTCCTGGATGATCTGAACTTCATGTTTGGCAGAAGACCGCCATATTTGTTTTCCTTGTTGTGGAGATTCATCGTGCCTGCTGTACTCATTGTAAGTCTAGGTGTTTTTTTAGCCACTGTCTAGTTGGTTCTACCACAGTCCGTGCGATTTTGTAAACCTATCTGTTTATCTGCATCTGTATATGCTACCAATGTTTGCCCCTCCGTGTTGCTACCAATGTTTGCCCCTCCATGTTGCTATCAATGTTTGCCCCTCCGTGTTGCTACCAATGTTTGCCCCTCCGTGTTGCTGTATGCCCCTCCGTGTTGCTACCAATGTTTGCCCCTCCGTGTTGCTGTTTGCCCCTCCGTGTTGCTACCAATGTTTGCCCCTCCGTGTTGCTACCAATGTTTGCCCCTCCGTGTTGCTGTTTGCCCCTCCGTGTTGCTACCAATGTTTGCCCCTCCGTGTTGCTACCAATGTTTGCCCCTCCGTGTTGCTACCAATGTTTGCCCCTCCGTGTTGCTACCAATGTTTGCCCCTCCGTGTTGCTATCAATGTTTGCCCCTCCGTGTTGCTATTTGCCCCTCCGTGTTGCTACCAATGTTTGCCCCTCCGTGTTGCTACCAATGTTTGCCCCTCCGTGTTGCTGTTTGCCCCTCCGTGTTGCTACCAATGTTTGCCCCTCCGTGTTGCTACCAATGTTTGCCCCTCCGTGTTGCTGTTTGCCCCTCCGTGTTGCTGTATGCCCCTCCGTGTTGCTATCAATGTTTGCCCCTCCGTGTTGCTACCAATGTTTGCCCCTCCGTGTTGCTACCAATGTTTGCCCCTCCGTGTTGCTATTAACCCTCCGTGTTGCTGTTTGCCCCTCCGTGTTGCTATCAATGTTTACCCCTCCGTATTGCTACCAATGTTTGCCCCTCCGTGTTGCTATCAATGTTTGCCCCTCCGTGTTGCTATCAATGTTTGCCCGTCCGTGTTGCTATCAATGTTTGCCCCTCCGTGTTGCTATCAATGTTTACCCCTCCGTATTGCTACCAATGTTTGCCCGTCCGTGTTGCTATCAATGTTTGCCCCTCCGTGTTGCTACCAATGTTTGCCCCTCCGTGTTGCTATCAATGTTTGCCCCTCCGTGTTGCTGTTTGCCCCTCCGTGTTGCTATCAATGTTTGCCCCTCCGTGTTGCTATCAATGTTTGCCCCTCCGTGTTGCTATCAACCCTCCGTGTTGCTACCAATGTTTGCCCCTCCGTGTTGCTACCAATGTTTGCCCCTCCGTGTTGCTGTTTGCCCCTCCGTGTTGCTATCAATGTTTGCCCCTCCGTGTTGCTATCAACCCTCCGTGTTGCTACCAATGTTTGCCCCTCCGTGTTGCTACCAATGTTTGCCCCTCCGTGTTGCTGTTTGCCCCTCCGTGTTGCTATCAATGTTTGCCCCTCCGTGTTGCTATCAATGTTTGCCCCTCCGTGTTGCTACCAATGTTTGCCCCTCCATGTTGCTATCAATGTTTGCCCCTCCGTGTTGCTATTAATATTTGCCCCTCCATCAGCTGATCCTGGCTACCACCCTGGCTACCTACCAGCCCCCCGTCTATGAGGGCTACGTGTATGGAGAGGGCGCCAAGACTTTCGGCTGGTTGATCGCCAGTGTACCCTTCCTGCCAATACCTGTGTATATCGTTTACAAGCTGGTCATTACTAGAGGCACTTTCATGGAGGTAGGTTTTGTCATTGTTGTAGGTAGGTTTAGTTATTACTTTAGGTAGGTTTAGTCATTGGTGAAGGTAGGTTTAGTCATTGTTGGTGGTAGGTTTAGGGCATAGTCACTGTTGGAGGTAGGTTTAATTATTTTTGGATGTAGGTTTAGTTATTGTTGGAGGTAAGTTTAATTATTGTTGGATGTAGGTTTTGTCATTAATGGAAGTATGTTTAGTTATTGTTGGAAGTAGGTTTAGTCATTGTTAGGGGTAGGTTCTGGTTCTTTGTCATTATTAACGCTGGGTTCTTTTTTTGGGTGGGGGGGGGGGGGGGGAGGATAGGTCTCCGTGTAGTATAGGATTCATTAATTTGGCCCATTTGATCCATTTTTTGCGGAATATTAGTACTTTATAAATTCGCGTGCGTTTTTTGAGAAAACGGAAATAGCGAAAATTACTACTTCCGGTCAACGGAAATTACTCACAATTTGACAGAAGGCAGAAAATTATATATTTTACTTGTGAATTTTTTTTATCTATCTGAAACAGTACTCAACTTATAGGCTTTTGAAAAATTTAAAGTAGAAAAAAGTTCCACTTCCGGTTATCGGAAATCGTTCAAAAGTTGATACTGATCTACGATTTTGATATAATACTTATATATGAAATTTCATCAACCTAGCAGGACCTAGCTGTAACGGTACTAAAGTTATCGTGTTTACACACACACACACACACACACACACACACACACACACACACACACACACACACACACACACACACACACACACACACACACACACACACACACACACACACACACACACACACACACACACACACACACACAGAGCCACAAACACATACACACACATACATACGAACAAGATTGCAAAACCATGTTTTTCCGACTCAGGAAGGTGTAAAACGTCGAGATTTGCAAAAATCTCGATTTTTAATTTCAGGATTACAAGACTTTCTCTATACTTCGTATATACGAGGGGTCTACGACAATTTCCCGAAAGACACTTGCCCGAATGCCGTTTGTACGAAGGCCGATTTCCCGAATGGACACTTGCGATAAATGACCGAATGGACACTTGCCCGAATGCGATAAATGCCCGAAACGTCCGGCTCCCATATACGAGAAAGTAAAAATGGATTAAAATTCTTGTCTATGTCCCGAGTTGCCACCCCCCGTAGTGTTTTATAAGAATATTAGAGAAAGTGAAGAGGAGATCACTCCCGGTTTATTTGGATTGTAGTTGGTTGAGTCCTATATTTGGGAATAGGTAGGAGCTTAGAAATGTAGGCTGAAGTGTTATATAGGGTTATGTTTAGCCCTTTCTATAATTTATTGTGCTGCAAGTTATGTATAAGTTCGGCTTTTTGTTGACTTGGAGCTTTTAATAAAGGCATGAATGTCACATCACCCATAACATGTTGTGGTTATAATCTTTGTTGTTTAATCTAAAATTTTCCTGATAAAATTAGGCGGTGTATGTTCAGATTGTTTACAAATCCCAACTTTCCCTTTTATTATCTCCCTTACAGCGCTTAAAGAAGTCTTGCACACCAGACCAAGACTGGGCGCCCAACGACCCGGCGATACGCAAGAAATATCTCGCCCAAACCAAGGAGACAGAATTGTGTACTTTCAGATTACCTTTTAGACATAGATAACCTTGTATGTTAGTAATTTGTGTGTGTGTTAAATTTAGCCATCTATCTTTGCTAACTGCTGTATGATTTTTCCCAGTTTATGCTATAAAATGTAATTGCAATACTAGTTTAATATTTTATTTACGTTTGTATTTCTAACATGCTTTTCTTAAGCATGTTATATTTCATGTTAAAAATAGTACGCTTTTCTTTCAACAAGGTGATACTTCTGTAAAAAGATACACTTTGTATTAGCATATCATATAAGTTACAAAAATTAAAACATACCATAAACGTCCTAAGATGTGTGATTACTGTAATGTAATTTGTTTTGTAAAAAAAATTGGACATAAAGATTCCTAGGATGTTAATTAAGATAAGAGAACTAGGGGAAATAATGACTCTGTTAAAACAAATATATATTTTTCTACAAATGTTAGTGTAAATGTCAAATTAGATCAGTAATTACTTTAGTATGTAATATACTTTAGTATGTAATATAGTAACTAAAAGCTATTCGTTTTTACAAAAATATTTTGTCTACAATCAGAATTGTATATATTGTCATCATAAATGCTAAAATATTCCAGCATAATGAAAGTTTTTTAAATCAGAGTTTCAAAAGCTATGATTCTGGCGGCATGGTACTTGGTATCTCATTACGCGTTATCCCAAATGTACTTAACAGATCAGTTCGGGGTGGGAGGGGGGGTTCAACTTCATTCACCACTGTCCGGTCACTTTAGGTCAATTATCCTACCTAGTGTATACCTAGGTGTGACATTATTGTCGCTCTACACAATGATGGTGGTGAGGTGCAGGGGGGGGGGGGATAACCAACTCAGAATGAATATAGCGTCAGTTTTTAGATGACTGTTCTAAACATACATATACAATTATACATATATACTTATATATAATTTCTAGTGCATGAAGGTAAAAATTTCAGCACTGTTTTACATGGATAATCGAATCCCATAAAAAGCTGTGACGTATCTAGTTTTCTTAAGCAGTTGACCTATTTTATTTGAAGTCTATTACCTTGAAGATGCCTATCAAAGACCAGTTGAATGTGTGGGCTTTGTTGACAGCTGGAGCTATACTACAAGTTGGTGGCATCAGGTGCTACTACATGAGGAAGTCGTTCAGTGCTACATGAAATATTGGTGTCACAAATGATGGTGACACCAGGTGCTGCTACATGAGGTAGTCGTCCATCCTACTTTTCACACACACACACACACACACACACACATATATATATATATATATATATATATATATATATATATATATATATATATATATATATATATATATATATATATATTTATTTATTTATTTATATATAAGATATATATATATATATATGTATATATATATATGTGTATATATGTATGTATATATGTATATATATATATATATATATATATATATATATATATATATATATATATATATATATATATATATTTCTAGTGCATGAAGGTAAAAATTTCAGCATGCCATAAAAAGCTGTGACGCATTTACTTTTCTTTAGCAGTTGACCTATTTTATTTGAAGTCTATTACCTTGAAGATGCCTTTCAAAGACTAGCTGAATGTGTGGGCTTTGTTGACAGCTGGTGCTATACAACATGGGTTCCCAAACTGGGGGTCGCGAAGGGTTTTCTGAGAGGGGGGGGGGGTCGCCAACTGGTAGACTAAACCGTAGAAATAAAAAAAGCACAGATATTTAGAAGAATATCTGAACTTCGGTTTTACTAACATCAGAAAATAAACAATGCGTACTGTGCAGTTGTTCTTAGTCATAAGTTAATGAAGCTTTCAGAGCTAAAATGGCACAAAAAAGATATGGAGTTCTTTCGTCGGCAAGAAGCTAGTTGAAAACGTGAGAGACAGGAAGTTTTCACCAAGAAAACACAACATTAGTGCAAGCCTCATATAGGGGAAAATCTCATCAAACTCTGTATGTTGAAGATGGTGCAATTAATTCTTGCGGATTCCAGTGCAGTAAAGAACCAACAAATATCTCTGTCTAATAATACTATTCAGCAGACATGTCCGTAGATGTTAAAAAACTAATTTTGAATTAAATCAAACTTTCACCATTGTTGCATTGGTGTCTACTCCTATCGAAAACCGCGAAGAACGCCCACACAGTGTACAACATTACAAGTTCGGGGTAAAAAGTTTTGGTGTTTTCCAGTGCATTGGTGTCACAAAACGGTTAGGTTATTATACGTTGATGTCATCTAGTGCCATATTAAAAGCTAGTGTCACGAAATGTTGGTGACATCCACAAAAATAAATTTACAGTTTACATTTCAGTACACCATAGTGAAGGTGATTGAAGGATTGATTTCCTTACGCAGCATTCTCAAACGTTGCAGATTCTTCAGCCAGATTTGTCGGAAATTAAAATAGTTCCAACATTTAATGAAATGTCTGGAAAAGCTTTTCTGGTGTTAGAAAGACGTAGTTTTATTGGAAATAATACTGGATATGATGCTGGAAATTGTTTATTGTTCAAAAGATTCCATTGATGATTTTGACGACGAATAAGCCATTAAAATCAATCTCACATATTTCATTACACTATAGTGTGGATCATTATGAAAGGTATGTTCATATATATTTGATGAACATTTCTTTAAAGAAAAGACAAATACAATGGGCGATATTGAACAATTTGTTATCGATCTGATGATAAAGATAGTGCAAAAATATAAATTTTTATATTTAAATTTATAATAATGAACTACTATTTAAAGTACTAAAAACAAAAGCTTGGATTGCTATAGAATTAAAGAAGCGAAATTTCGAGCACTTCTAGCTGACCGATTCGTTTTAAACATGGCACGTGGATCAAGACACAATGACAATGCATTCTGACATCAAATTTGACTTAATAGAAAGCCTAATTAATTTTTTATGAATTAATTAAAATTTTATATAAATTGTAGGGTGATATTAAAGTACCCCACGCTTATCTTTTAACTAGCCGTCGGTATCCGTTACACGTGAATTATAGGTCTATATATTTTTAATGTCATACATTTTTAGAAGAATCTATATATATAATTCTCTTCTTGGAAACCCTAGAAAACACCAAGCTGTAAGCGCGCTCCCTACCATCCCCACCCCTACATGGTCTGGTGAGCTGTGGTTCACGCTAAATGTTTACAATCGTAGAGCTGGGTTTAGTGACGGCTATTAGGGGCAGATAATTTAGTTTGAAACTATTTAAAACTTAGGGGAGGTAACTAAGAGGAGGCTGCTTTCACGGAGGGGGGGGGTAGGGGTTGGGTAAAGGAGGGGGGGGGGGGGGTTATTGTCCTTAACAAGCTACTGATAGTGTTTTAAAGCAAATATATTCAGTGGCAGCATTGGTACTGTCGAATTCACAAATTATGAATTACTGAAAAGTAGAAAATAAAACAACTAAATAGCGGCGGATGATACGCCGCGGGTGGGCTCGTATAATTTTAAAATAGTTATTGGTCAAAACGCAATGTGCTTTACTACAGGTTTAACGATATTAGTGATAAAGCAACGAAATAACTAAATAGCTATAAGTCCGACACATTTAAAATAACATAGGCTACTAATATCTATTAGAAGAAAAAAAAAAACAAATTATATACATAATTAGTCAACACAATACTATATTAAATGCACACATTGATTAAAAGACTTAAATGATTACGTTAAAAACCCGACTTTTCAATGGTATTTATGTTGTTTTTAAAGTAAATTGTATTAGTTTTGGCCAAGGAAATTGTATAAATTTCATAAATTACGTCCCGATAAGTAAAACTATAGATCTAAATCAGATTTTAATGAAATAGTTTATTTCTTCGTACTCTAAAATTGGAAGATGCCGCCATTGGTTTTGTGTATTTTCTTTTTTTTTTTTTTTTTTTTTAACATTTATTTATTTATTTTTTTTTTTAATTTTTCTTTAACATTTATTAACACTGGCGAAATTTTTTTTTTTTGCCTCAGACACGTAATTTATAGCGTCAGTTGTGTGTTCGCTTTAGTATTACAGTTTTCATCATCGGTATTTTGTGTATTTTCCGTACTTCAAACATAGGACATGTGTCGTCATCGTTTTCGGCGTGCTTGTCACAAGTATAAACACTTTTCCAATTGCATACTTAAAACTGTTTTTCTACATTCGAATATGCCTTTATTTTTTATTTTTCTTCTTTAAATAAAATTGGGTTTATACATTTAAAACATCTACCATATTGTTTTCAACAAAAGTCACTATCAAGTTCTCCATATATCGCTGAAGATTGTGTTGTGATATCCTGCGTAAATATTTTGCGGACAGAAAGAGAGAGAGAGAGAGAGAGAGAGAGAGAGAGAGAGAGAGAGAGAAAAGTGCGCACATGGGCTTTTATATATTAGGATAAACAAACTTGTTTTGCTGTTCAAATAAATATATCACCTCTACTTCAGTTGTTCTATATTATGAGCGCAAATGAACTTGAACTAAAAAAAATAATACTGTGAAGTAGAGGTGATATATTTATTTGAACAGCAAAACCAGTTTGTATATATATATATATATATATATATCCGCCGAAAGATCGAACAGCCCAATAATTTAAGCACTAAATTTTTTTAACGTACAACATGTGGCAACATGAGTATATTTCTCTATGTATAGTTTTATATGAAATTAACAGGAATCAATATTTCGATCCCCTTGGTTTCGTGACACCAGGCCTATCTATGTCTATATCTGTATCTGTATCTGTATCTGTATCTGCATCTGTATCTGTATCTGTATCTGTATCTGTATCTGTATCTGTATCTGTATCTGTATCTGTATCTGTATCTGTATCTGTATCTGTATCTGTATCTGTATCTGTATCTGTATCTGTATCTGTATCTGTATCTGTATCTGTATCTGTATCTGTATCTGTATCTGTATCTGTATCTGTATCTGTATCAGTATCTGTATCTGTATCTGTATCTGTATCTGTATCTGTATCTGTATCTGTATCTGTATCTGTATCTGTATCTGTATCTGTATCTGTATCTGTATCTGTATCTGTATCTGTATCTGTATCTGTATCTGTATCTGTATCTGTATCTGTATCTGTATCTGTATCTGTATCTGTATCTGTATCTGTATCTGTATCTGTATCTGTATCTGTATCTGTATCTGTATCTGTATCTGTATCTGTATCTGTATCTGTATCTGTATCTGTATCTGTATCTGTATCTGTATCTGTA